TCAAAGCACTTCATGGTATACGCATTAAGCAGATTGCATGTGGAGATAGCCATTGTCTTGCTGTTACCATGGGAGGCGAAGTGCAGAGGTTGGTGGTGCTGCTCTTGAGCTCTAGTTTTGGTGGATCTAATAAACCTTATGCACATTTATTTTCTCTTTATTTTGATAAAGACTTTATGTTCGTTTTTGTTTTCTTGATAGTGTTGCTATTACATATATCCAACCGACATTAGGTGCTTCAGTGATTTTACCATCTGCATCAATCTTCTATCAATGCTTAACTCAGAGGTTTCTTGTCTCATTTTTTGTTTATATTCCTTAAAGTACATTGGTAGCTCATCAACCTTTGATGCCGTACCTGTCTCGGATTCTTCAAAAATACACTACTTTGGCGAATCCGACACGTACCCGTTGGCATTTTTGAAGAGTCCGAGCAAAATAGATTCTGCAAACTTGGGGCAATCTTTTATTCTACAAAATTGTGGCTCTGACAACCTTTTGCTACTTCAAGTTAAAAATTATTAATTGTCTGCAAGAATTTAGCCATTTCTAGAATGAAAATGAAGGTGCTTACTGTCTTCTTAAAAAGAGATTGGGATGGTTAGAACCACCATTTTAGAAAGTTGGAACAGAAGAAACTATGTGTAACATTCTAGCTAGCAGGCACAAATTTCCAACTTAAGATTTGAATCACAAAAACTAAAACATGACATTGAAGTTTCAGAGGGAGTTTGAAGATCTCTTATTTGATGAACATAACAAGTAAAAACTACCAGTCAAAACGGCAGAGTTCTCGCAAAACTATCAAATAATAAAAAGAGTATTGAGTTCACAAATTGTATGTTTACTTGGAAAGCATACAATTCTTTCTTCCCCAATAAAAAGACATCTATTTCCTTTTGTCTCGACTTCCTGCTCAAACTAAAAGGAGGACAGAAATCACTTCCTTGCACATTTTCTGTCCCATCTTTCTCATGACTAGTTTCCGAACACTTATTATGTAATTTCTGAATATATGATATAGCAATCTAGTTTGGATAACTTTAGACATGCTTTCTTAATATAAGATTTTTCTAAAGCTGCTTCTTTTCATCTGGAAACTGGAATGCCAAGTATTAATACTGTGAGCATTCAATTTCAGTTGGGGGCGAAATCAAAATGGCCAACTAGGCCTTGGAACCACGGAGGACTCTCTTGTGCCTCGAAAAATTGAAGCTTTCAAGGTATTCCTTGCTAATTGTTTGTCAAGTTATGTAGTTAGTATTGTTATTCTTTCACAAACTTTTTGGTAGCATTTCTATTAACTTATAAAATATGGTATTAATTCTTTGCCAAGTGTATGGATTGACTTAGCTTGTATGTTTGGTATCCTAGTAAATTAATAGCTTTATACATATGGTGGTAATAAACTTCAAATTGCCCACGTAATGAGAGTATTTTTGTGAGCTTACTTGATTTGAGTTGTCATTTCTTTGTTGCTTTTCATTTTGCAAAGATCACCATGTAACTCCAGCCGAAACCTGATATAGATGATATGCCTCTTCTTTATTAGTGATCCAAGGGTGGACATAGTTGATTTTTGTAATTGAAATTTTGGTTTTTCTTGAATGGCAAAACATGAATCGTTCTGGATGAATGGCTTGATAAGAAATTGATTTTCTTTGGTTGGTGCATCACATTTGATTTGGTACCAGAATATATGAAATTTACTTGACTCACAACACACTTTTGCAGGGAATACCCGTAAAGATGGTTGCTGCCGGTGCTGAACATACAGCTGCTGTTACAGAAGATGGTGAACTCTATGGTTGGGGTTGGGGTCGATATGGTAATCTGGGCTTAGGTGACCGAAATGATCGCTTGGTTCCAGAAAAAGTTTCAGCCGATGTGGTAGGCATCTTCTATGGAATGTTTATGTTGATTACTATAAGGTTATTTATTAATTACAGTGACAACACTGTACTACTGAGCTTAAGACTTTGTTTTGTCGTAAGCAAGAATCTGTTTAACCTGTATCTGTTATTGCTCAAAAAGATGTATTGCTGGCAGCCAACACAGTTTAATTCTTCATTTCTTTCAATTTTATTGTCTTTCTTCTAGTCTGTCTAAAAATGAATGCCTCTTTCCTAATTTGGCAACTCCTTAATTCGAATGTCCCCACACGCCATGCTAAAGAGCATTTTCTTACATTATACTTGTCAGCTTAAGACCTAAGACCGCAAGATTCAATAGTTCTCTTAAAAGTTTTTAAACTTTGTGTCAAGTCAAACTACGACAAATAAATTGGAATAGACAGAGTATTTGCTTCCAAATCTGTTTTTGTATCAGAATTCTTGTTCTGCTCAATGCTCTTCTGGGTTTCTTAGAAATGTTGGAGAATTTTTTTATTGAATTGTTTATCTACACTATTACACTGAGACTGTATTTGTAGTTACTACATTGGACTCCTTTTGCAACTAGGATTCCTATTTCTATTCTAAGTAGGATTGCATATACTTATTTCTAACACTCCCTCACAAGCTGTGGTGCATACAAATCATATGTACCTAGCTTGTTACAGATGTAATTAATATGATGACTAGTGAAGGACTCGGTGAAGATATCTGCAAGCTGATCATTTGACTTCACGAATTTCGTAACAATATCTCCTGAGAGTATCATTTCTTCTGTGACAAAGTGACGCTCAATCTCAATGTGTTTATTCCTTTTATGAAACGGATTTGATGAGATTTGAAGGGCAGCTTGATTATCACACGCAAGTTCCATCTAACCAATTTCACCAAATTTTAGCTTTCTCAACAGCTGTTTGATCCAAACAAGCTCACAAGTTGCTGCAGCCAATGTTACATGCTTTGATATCTGCACTAGATCGAGCAACGAGACATTGTTTCTTACCCTTCCACGACACCAAATTACCTCCTACTAGAACACACTATCATATATCTGCATTTCGAATGTCTATTAGAGGATGATCCTTCCCAGTCAACATCTCTAATCTAGTGATATGCTCATGACCTTGATCCTCTAAGAGTAGTCCTTTACTAGGAGCTGACTTTATATATCGCTTATAGAGCTGAAATATTGAATTTTGCTTATAGATCTTTTTATGTTTAATTTCATAGTGAACTATTTTGTCTTCTTTGATTCTTGAGATAGGTATTCAATAACACTCTGTACAGACTGTTGGATATAACCTTCTGCAGTCTGGTGGCACTCCTTTTTAGCCCCGTCTACTCATCTGATATCTCGATTTACAGGGAGAAAAGATGTTCATTGTTGCATGTGGTTGGCGTCATACTATCTGTGTATCCTCTTCTGGTGCTTTATATACGTATGGTTGGAGCAAATATGGTCAACTAGGACATGGTGATTTTGAGGATCACCTCTCTCCTCATAAGGTTCAAGCTTTGCATGGAAGTTTTACTTCTCAGGTACTTTTTCTTTTATGTGAAAACTTTCTGCTCAACATTTTATGAGGTATAGATGGAAAGTTAATGGGAACTGTTTCACTCTATTGTCCGCTTTTCTGGGGATTGCTGATGTTCATCTTTACAAGTTATTATTTAATGCTTTATAGCTGCATAATCCAAACTATATATCTGACTGAACATCATTACAAAGTATTTGTATTCTGCATTGACTTTTACTGAAATTTGACATCTCCTTGGTTAAAAGCACCTGGCTATAACTTCTGTTAGCTTATCTGCATGGTATTCACCATTTTTTAACTGTGTTTTTTAAAAAATACTACTTGGTAATCTCGGAAGCATTACATTATGAAACTGTAGTTCCCTAATTTAGCTATTGAGGAAATAAGAAAATATTATTGCTGCCTATGCCCAGTAATAGATTTTAGGTACCCGAAATTTTCAAGAGATGAAAGTCAGATGAAAGTGTATATGTTAATTTTCAAGCAAAAAATTTGATAGCCCAATGAAATCATGAGCTGCATTCCAAGAAGAGACACTTTGTTGACTACATATACTTGAGGACTTGACCAATGCAAGATGTGAACAGAAAAATGTATCCATAATTTGCTTACATAGTAGGATTTTATTTGGTCTATTTTGTGCATGCTTGAGATGTGGGCGCCAAAATCCGAAAACAATTGACTTTTTCATAGCTTACGTGCCTAACATGTCCCAATTCACACACTGGAATAACTGTTAAAGGAAAATTATTTCCCATGGATATATCTTGTTGCACTCTCAATGTATTCATAGTATACTCCCCCTTGTCAGGTAGTACTTGATCTACTATGAGTTGTGTAAAAATCATGAGTTAAAAATTTGAAAGACTGTTAAATTTATCAGGTAAGAAGTGCTTAAAATATGACTTTGAAAATACCAATCCGATCATCATTACTGATCTTTAAGAACGAGCCGGTTGACAAAGTAACTTTATGTGTGGAGATGTCCATTGGTTCTGCATGAAGATGTAAAACATGGATAATAGGAACTAGACGAGATATAGCTTGAACTGTGTTCTCCTTCATTTATTATCCTTATAAGGAATTAAATAACTCACTTTTCAAAGCGGAGAATTCTAGAACAACTTACCTTCTTTTTTGGGGGTTGTCAAGGTTCTTGCTTTATACTTGTAAGACACTTTTTGCAAAAAGTATCTATTTATTCATAGTGCAATACAATATGTATAAGAGAACAACTATGACCAAATAAACTAACCAATCCCTATAGTCTAATCCCATATTTACAAGAGCAGATTATAATCAAATCTGCCAACTTATTTGTCAAGCAAATTACAGTCAAATCTGCCACCTCATACTTGGAGCGATTATGACTTAATATGCCAAGTGCCAACTCCTTCGACACTCCCCCTCAAGTTGGCATGTGAATATCCGACATGCCTAACTTGCTTACAAAGGACTCAAAAGTAGTTCTGAAAAGACCTTTTATGAAAATATCTGCAACTTATTCGGTTGTTGGAACAAAAAGGAATGCACACACTTCCATTTTCAGTCTTATCTTTAATGAAGTGTCAGTCCACTTCAACATGCTTTGTTCTATCATGCTGGACTGGATTATGAGCAACGCTTATGGCAGCCTTATTGTCACAATATAACTTCATTGGAAAACTCACTGGTCTTCTTAGTTCTTTCAAAAATCTTTTGAGCCACAATGTTTCACAAATTCTGTGTGCCATGGATCCATACTCATCCTCAGCACTACTTCGAGTCACCACATTTTGCTTCTTACTTCTCCATGTCACTAAATTTCCCCAAACAAATGTACAGTATCCAAACGTAGGCCTTCTATCAATGGATGAACCATCCCTGTACGTATGCAGACCTTCTATCAATAGATGAACCAGCCCAGTACGCATCTATATAAGCCTCAACACTCCTTTGCTCATTCTTTTTGAAGAACGGCCCTTTCCCAGGAGCACTCTTTAGATACCTCATGATTCGATACACAGCTTCTTGGTGTTCTTCTCGTGGAGAATGCATGAACTGACTGACTAGGCTCATAGCAAAGAAAATATCAGGTCTAGTACGTGACAAATCAACTTGCCTATCAATCTGATATTGGCCCCTATCGATCAATTTTCCTTCCTTTACAAACGTTAGATTTGGATCAATTGGAGTTTCAGTTGGTCTACAACCACTCACTGTAGTTTCTTTTTACAGATCAAGAACATACTTCCTTTCTGACACTACAATTTCTTTCTTCGATCATGCAACCTCCATGCTGAGAGAGTACTTCTTCAGGCCTAAGTTCTTTATTTCTAACTCTGAGGCAAGAGATTCTTTTAGATTTTTTATTTCAACCACATCATCCCCTGTGATGATGATATCATCAACATACATTATAAGAACTGTTGTTTTTCCTTCTATTGAATGTCAAGTAAACATTGTGTGATCTGCTTGTCCTTGCACATACCCTTGCTTCTTCAGAAATTGAGTAACACCTTTCGATCCAAGCCTTGAAGATTGTTTTAGACCTTAAAGAGATCTTCTAAGCCTGCATATCTTTGACTTGTACTTCCTTTCAAAACCTGGTGGGGGCACCATATAGACTTCTTTCTCTTAAGTGCCCATTCAAGAAAGCATTCTTCACATCCAGTTGCTGAAGAGACCTGTCAAGATTCATTACGATTGTCAACAGAACTCTAATAGAGTTTAGTTTAGCTACTGGAGAGCAAATGTCTTGAGTAGTCAATGCCATATGTATTTAATCAAAAGATGCAATCTGTAAAGTTAATTCTAGAAAAAGAAGGTTACCTAATCATGTGATCGGTGGATCATATTTTATGCACTGTGATTGGAAGGTCTGTTTCATGTTCATGGAAGATTTTGGAATCCAATAGGCAAGTCCTATGAAATTGAGGAATGTAGTGGGAAGTTTGGAATCTGCATGTTTAGAAGCATCCCTGCAGAAAATGTGGAGAGCTATCCCTCTATGCGTAGCTTGGACTATATTGAAAGAAGAAATATTTTGAAGGCAAAGGGGAGCTGCTACAGACTGTGAAATATACAACAACAAGAAGAAGATACCCAGTGAAATCCTTTAAGTAGGGTATGGGAAGGGTCACTAAGTGATGGTTATTCCCAAAAGACCCTAGACTTAAATGTTTAAGAACACATAGCAGTTAATTCAAGTAAAAGAAGACTTAACACATTGAAGAACACATAGCAGTAAATAACAAAAGTAGTGTAAAGTCTATAAGAAATAAACAATATCAACAACAAAATGGTGTGATAATTGAAATTGAAAATCATGTCCTCGGTAACATGAAGTTGCACCATGTGCTATCCATTCAACTCTCCCTAATACTTTTTTGCATCTCTCTATTCCTCCGCACACCCTCTACAACCAGCCTCTCGCACCCGCTCATTGGGGTGTCGGCATACCTCCTCCCGATATGTCCAAACTATCGCAATCTCGCTTCCCTCATCTTGTCTGCCATATAGGCAACTCCCACCTACTCCCGGATAACCTCATTCTTTATCTTGTCACTCCTAGTATGCCCACACTTCCATCTAAACATCCTCATCTCTGTAACATGTATCTAGCCAACACTCCACCATACATCAAGGATGGCTAACCACTACTCTGTTGAACTAGTCTTTAAGTTGAGGTGGTACCTTCATATCACACAAGTGTCCAGAGGCAAGCCTCCATTTCATCCACAATGCTCCGATGTGTGAAATATAGTTGTCTACATTATCTGTACTGCTGGAAAGATAGAAATTTTGTTTTGGATTTCATAATCTGTTAGTCCAAAACTTAAGGATTTTAACATAATCAAATTCAGCTTTTTCATTGTAAATCTCATAGTTTCATCTTGATACTGTCTTCAAGAAAATCATATATAACAAAAAAATAATGTGTTAGAGGATTTTTTCTTTTTTTTTTTGGGGGGGGGGGGGGGTAATTACACTGGTGAAGATGATGGGAGTCAACTGTGAATAATTATTGCCTCTTCCACACTTATAGTCCATTTTTAGTAGATGTGGATACTAAGAGAGCCTTGATAATGTAAGTCACTTTATATTTATTGGGTGAAGTTGTTTATATCTGAATTTCTTGCAAATCTTTTGTTTAGATGGGTGTAATTGCACTGGTCAGATGATGTGAGTCAACTGTGCAATAGATAATTACTCCCTCTTCCCCAACATTTATTCCGTTTTACTTGATGTGGATATTAAGAACTTGATAATGTGAGTTGCTCTATTTTTATATTTACAAAGTGAACTTGTTCATATTCTCATCTTACATACTGTTCAAAAAGATATCTTTTATGTTCACATCATTCTAGTACTTACTAGAAGGAAATAGGGCATGTTCTACAACCAAGGGAAAAATAAGGGTATAGATAGGTTTTGCATTTTATTATTAGGCTTTTGGTTATTATTTCCACGGATCCAATTATTGAAGAGATGGGATGACAATCCCTATAGTATTTCTAAAAGCTTTTTCACATGTTTTATGTGCTCCTATATTTCTAAATATTGTAAGAGTTGTCATTTTCCAGATATCAGGTGGTTGGAGACATACCATGGCACTTACTTCAGATGGAAAACTCTATGGTTGGGGTTGGAACAAGGTTTGGTTCTTGTTTCTTTAGTCTAATGATTGAAAAAAAATCTTGTCCATTGCAACTATGTTCAACTTTAATACACTACCTCTACCTGCCTGTATCTGCACTTAACTGTCTGTTTTCATTCATATCAGAAATGTAGTCATTATTTCTTACTAGTTGGTCAAAAGAATTCACTCAGGCTTTTCCTTGGTGCATTGTTGGACATATATTATAGTGTTTATACACACATCATCAACATGCAATATTGATGCTGTCTTGCAAATTTTTGGTACAAGTTTTTTATCAGAAGATACTTTTGTAATTTCCTTCATGCCATTTTGGTTCCTTGTGCTTATATGGAACTTTAAGTAACTGTAGCCGGTTAGCCTTTAATTTAAGATGAACTCGGCTCACAGCTATGATGTTTTTGTAGAGAAACTGTTCTCCACAATTGACTTGCTGCAGACAGTTGGATAATTGAATGGTAAATGTGCAACTAGAAAGGCATCCAAAGGTGTTGCAACCTATGTAGAAAAATGAATGAGAAAACTCAAAAGATGTATTTCCACCAGGATATCAGTGCTCTTACCTTTGCAGTTCTATATACTTCGCACATTAACATCGCTATTAATTTGGAATCTCATTATCCAATGTCAACACTGCTGTTATAATACTTTATACTGCATTCCAGTCATCTTAGATGTTTTATTTACTCTGTGGTTTTTCTGCCTTTGGCATGTACTCTTTGTTGCTTCCTTTCAACCAGCTTTATTTGACTATAGTGATAAAGCCTTTGTGTAAGTCACCATTTCACATTCAAATCTGTTTTGTCTTATCAAACCTTTATTTGCTAGAGGTGACAAGCATAGTTTTACTTGACCAACATAATTTTACTATTATCATGGCCTTTTTTCTTACCTGGTAATCAACTTGATTGAATTGAGAAGATCTGTTTATATGCTTCATAATTAATTTCACTTGGTCCTCAATTCAGTTTTTATTTATCATACATATCCTTTGCATAAGGCAGTATTCAATGGCTTGTTGCTTGATACTAACATTTTTAGTATCAGATAGAGCTTCATGTTGGTTTATCTATTGAGTCGGTGTCTCGTTTTGCATCATGAGCAGTTCGGACAAGTTGGTGTTGATGACAATTGTGATCATTGTTCACCTGTTCAAGTAAAATTTCCACATGATCAGGTACTGGTATGCTAGTTCTCAGCTGAAATGAGCATTAGTCTTTGCTTTCTGTGTTGTCATTAGCGTCTTACTGAGAGATCTTGTGGGAAATAAGCAATTGACATTTTACTGTTACTAAAATGGCAGAAAGTAATTCTGATTTCATGCGGTTGGAGGCACACACTTGCTGCTACAGAAAGGCAGAATGTCTTTTCCTGGGGAAGAGGTACAAATGGTCAGCTAGGTCATGGGGAGTCCGTTGATAGGTAATAACTGCAGACATATCCAGTATTGAAGTCGTTGATAGTGCATTGAGATGTGTTGTTGAATTATCTGTGCTTTGCTGCCTTTGTTCCTTTAAATCAGTTTTTCACTCACAAGGAAATGGCTTTTGCTTGTGTGGATGGCTTGAATCTGCAACTACTTTTATGTTTGTATCAGAACAACGGGAATAGGGTTAACATAGAGGCAGAAAGATATATTAACAAAACTAGAGGTGGAAAGATATATTGGTTTACATCTGTGGATTAGCTGTATGTGTTAGGTTGATGCTACAGTAGCTCTTTCTTAGGATGCTTTTCAGATAAAGGTTATTTCTAGGAGTGTTATCGATTTGTTGGAATGTTGTGATGATTGATTCCTGTTGCCTGTCAGTGGTGGATAATGCCCCTTCTTGAAATGGGGGATTAAAATCAATATTCCAAGTGCTACTGTCATCAGTGAAATTGTTTGACTTTATTTTTCTGCTTTCATGATCATCGATTCTTATTGTTTAGAAGAACTATATTGTTTGTTTACTGCAATGTTTGTGTCAGTGTAGGGACCATTAGGTGTAAAGCAAATCTCGAAAGACCATGAGTAAGAAAATAAACGAAAAATATATCAAAAGACACGAGTATTTAATGTGGTTCGGTCAATTAACTTACATAATGAACAAGGTAAAAATTCACTATAAATATGAGAGTACAAAATATAGAAAGAAATAATTTAAACCAATTTACATGGAAGTTCACAAAATTTTTCCCGATAACTAAAATTCTCAAAACCTCTAGAACTACATTGTGAATGTTAATTAAGTTAGAAGAAATATCTATTTATAGAGTTCTAAACTTTTTCTTGCAAGGAAAGGACTAGTCAATCCTAAACCTTTTCTTAAAATGAAAATTTATTTATGGTAAGAAATTCAGGGCAAATAATACCCAACCAACGGTTGGATCTTTTTGTTTCTTTTGGCTCACAGTCAAGTTCAGGTGTACAACTATAGATGTTCAGTATCTCTGATATATAAATAGTGGACTTTCAAGTTAGTTGTCTCCAGCTCTTCAGAAATTATTATCTATAAGAAGCTGCCTGCTGTTCGGAATACTAGAGCTTTGCACGTGTATATCTTTTTTATCAATAATAAATCTGTATTAAAAAATTATTTTGTATGTTATTAAACATAAAAAAAATTATGTTATTATTCATTATAAAATTTTACAGAAATGACCTAAAAGAATTAAGACAATTTTTTCCCTTGTAAGAGGGGAATTAATCGAATATGAAAGAGATTATTTTTGACAAGAAAACCTTTTCTAGTAAAAAACATAATTCTAATCATAATAGAAAGTGTGTTGGTGTAATTGTAAATATCAACAACTTATGAAGAAATAGATTAAAATACTTAATTATTAATTCTCCCTTATAACTCTTTACCATATATAACTCTTACCATATATTTTACTCTTACCAAATATTTTAGGACTCTTTAATTTTAAAATATATTTTCCTCTTGCTATATATTTAGGATCATTTACTTCGAAATATTATAAATAATAATTTTAAAAAGAGTGACAAGATGATTTTGTCAAAAGGAGATAGTCTGAATGAGGGCAAAAAGTAGAAACAACATTATTAAGGACCTTCACACTTCAAATATAGTACGGATTATACTCTGCATGACTTTTACTTCCGTCGTTTCAATTTGTTTGACTAGCTTTGACTTGGCATGGAGTTTACAAAAGTAAGATGTGTAAATTTACCAAAATATCGCTTAATTTTGTGATCTTAGACATCTCATATTGAAAGTTGGAATCAAAGAGTTGTCAAAAAGAGTAAGGGACATATATTTTGAAACGAACTAAAAAGTAAAGAAAAACAAATAAATTGATATAAAAGGAAGTAACATTTAAGGCATTCATTGGTCCTAAACTTCATTAAATCCTGTCACATATTGACTTCCATTGCTATGTTTGGATTTTACTTGTAAAATATTTAACTTAGACAATGTAGTTTCTGGGTCAGGTGTATTCAAATGTATCATAGATTGTGATTTTTGAGAGCCACAAAGGTACAAAAAGTACAATTATATTTTTGTTTGTAAAGGATCCAGACTGAGGACTAAGTTTTCTTTTGTGTTTCAGGGTCACATAAATAATTTTATGTCTTGTTAAACTATGACAAAAGTCTCACTTCTGTGATTAATGAGATAGGTGAACTCCTTATAGGGCTTGGTTAATCCTCGTCTCTTTGAGCTAGATTTTGGAGTATGATTAGACCTAAGACCTAATTTTACATGTCTAAATCGTAAGCCTAGTGTATTGCAAGTTCTTCAGTTCATTGACGACTATTTATTTTCCATGTATTTAGTATCAAAAAGAAAGCGAAGTTCTCTGTGAAAAGTTTGACGCCCTCATGTCATCTAAATAGTGTAATCTTACAAGCTAGGAATTAAATATTTTACTATTCTATATGTAAATGTAACACCATGGATGATGACATTTCTTCTCCATTTTCAACATTTTGCTTTAGTGAACTAACACATTTTCGTGCTACTTTCAAAATTGAGCTTGGTCATTTTTTTTTGAGATGTGAAGGTCTGTCCCAAGGATTATAGAAGTGTTAAGTGTTGATGGATCAAGTGGACAACAAATCAGATCTTCGACGGTTGACCCATCAGCAGGTCTTATATCTGCTCCGCCTTCCCTCTCTCTTTGTTCGTCTTTCACAGCATTTAATTATGCCATGTATTGGTATTTTCTTTTAACTCTTTTTCAGCTGAAAAATCTTGGGTTTCACCTACGGAGAGATATGCTGTTGTTCCAGATGAAAACGTAAGATCACCCATTTAAGCATTGAATTTGGCAGCAAACTTACTTTAACACTTTAAGTACATGAGTTGTACATTTATTTACCCCTAATCTTATTTGAAGCGAATTTAAACGCACCTAGAAGGTTGACGTGACAAATTAAAATAAATATAAAAGCGGAGAAAAAATAACTGGGCCTCCTTTTTTCTTTTTAATGAATAAGTTTTCTTCCCTTCTTCCTCACGCACCACCACTCCGCTGCCCTTAGCCACCATCAGCCCCACCCCTTCTTTCTCACCACCCCCATCGCCCTTAGCCACTAGCCCCTTCCTCTTGTTCTTCTTCGAACTTCCCACCCTCGTTCTCCTTCTTCGAAATCCCTCATCCCCACCCCCTTTCTCCTTCTTCCAACCCCCCACCCTCTTTCTCCTTCTTTGAACTTCACCCGCCCTCAGCCACCTCCTGCCTCACCCCTTTCTTCTTCTACGAACTCTACCACCTTCTTTGTCCTCTTTCGAAACATTGCCATAGCCACCCAAAAACCTTATAATAAGTAAATGAAATAAGGTTGGATGAACAGGAAAATAAATGGAAAAGCTAAACTATAACAGGGAACAGGGAACAACTAGTTAGAACATTGATTCCGGAAGCTAACGCCTATTATTCCCTTCAAGATTACTAATTATGGCTGTGTTAATTTGTTAATTTGGATGAACTTAAATTATTTTTTTTAATGAAAAATCTATAATTTCTTCATCTCAAATTAAATTTTCACTTATAATTTATTTGTTTTGGTAACGTGTCCTGAAATTTGAATGTTTTTGTGAGATTGATTTTGAGATTCATGGATCGATCTTTCAACCAAGGAGTTTGATTCTTTTTCTGAGAGTTTTTTTTTTAATCTTGAATTAATCCTCATTTTTTTCTATTTATTGTCCTTTCCAAAGTTATGAATAAATAAAAGAAAAAAAAATAATTTTAAAAAATCAAAATTTAAATAAACTTTGACGTGGATCTGATGTGGCGCGTGTGGGATGTACTTGTCATTGTGAGACTTGTATTATAATAATTCACTTGAAATGAAACTAGGTGGGAAAAGAATTATATGTAAAGTTAAAGTGCGGACAAGTTCAGGGAAGATTTGATTTATTTTCTCAAATATCCAATTGTACAATAGGTGCATCAAAATTTATTTGGTGCGGTGCATGGTTAGATTGACATTTGGTTGATGCATAAGTTTGTGGGTTGTATAATGATTTCTTGGTTAGGGAAATGCCGATATTGATTCTGGTATGGAGAAATATTTGAACTTTTGAGTTTGCAATCACATTTTCTTCCCAATGACTCGAAGGTCAACCATCAGATTTCCTTGTCTTCTGAAACATAATCCCGAATGTTATGTTTTATGTGCAGCTGCCAAGACAATCAGTTATTCCCGAAAGAGGAACTGGAAACGATGTAAATGTGCCGGAAAATGATGTGAAAAGGATCCGATTATGAGATTTCTAGCAGTGGATGGTGGACTGATATCTTCTATTAAAACAATAGTTGATATCTCTTATCTAAAGTTGCAAATCTTACATTTTATTTTTGGGTTTCATAACACTTATCACGAGCATGGCTTAGCTTTACGTTGTTGTCGTGTAAGGAGTGGTTTTGTTTCACTTAAACTTCTAAAGTTAGAAGGAGAATTACTATTTAGACGTATCTCCGATCGTAACTGATGGTCAAGTGCTTACATGAAGTCGCAGTAAATGTAGTTCTAATCACCAAGGTGGGTAGTTTTTGAAGCTTAATAAATTTTGATATTAACAAGGAATGTGTGAAATGCACTAAAATTTGGGTTTTTATTTAATAAAAAGGTTCAAACATGTCATTGATCTTTGAGAAAAAGTCTTATGTTATTCTTTTGAGTTTGATTATATATGTCATCTCTCTTCGAGAAAAGTTCATCCATGTTATTATTCGTTAATTGAAATGGTATAAATGAGTTTTTTTTTTAAAGATTGATGATATATTTGAATGTTCACTTTTTTAAAAAATGATCTAATTAGAGATGTGGTCGAACTATAATTGATCACTTGTGAATAATGGTTATGCAAAATGAAATCTTAATAGCATGGAGGAGTGTTTTTTCAAATAAAAATAAAAATAATATAGATAAGTCAAATTTTAAATGGTAATATGAATAAATTTTTTCTCAAAGTTTGATGATGTATTTAAGCATTTTTTTCTTCTATTAATTGGAGAAGGTGAAGATTAATATTATCTTGAAAATTTGAGATGTAGCTATGTGATAATATTGTAGGTATGCAATGTAAAATTAGGTCTTGGTATTCACTCCAAAAGTTAGCTCAAAGGAAGGAGGATTGTTCAAGTCTTATGAGGAGTCAATCCATCTCACTAACTATCAATGTGAGATTTTTTGCTTTTAATACATTATCTCACTCTCAGTGCTTAGATTCTAGTGCATGGGCAACGTTAGACAATTTTTTATTCACCTCAAGTTCAGTGCTTATCACCTGGTGGATCGACATTTTTGAGTATTTTTTATTTATTTTGTTGGGCCCCAATATTGAGTGAGATTTGTCTTGCTCTAATATCATGTTAAAGTGAATTTTATAAATGACAATTATCAAAACTATTATTTTCAAGTTCTAGCAATAGAATATAATTTTCAAGTAACAATAAAAAAAATTCAGGTTGTAACATTTTATTAAAAAAATAAGTAATTATAAAATATGGGGAAAATGCAAAAGTACCCCCCTCAAGCTATGCCCGTAATATCAGAGACACACTTATACTATACTTGTAACATCCCGTAGTCAAAATAGATCAAAAATCAATTTTATCAATAAAATCTATAGGTGCAACCAACGGTGGCATCGATGGTCCGTAGGACAGACGACGGTCCGTCCTGCACAATCGTCGATGGGATCAGAAACTCCCAAAAATTCAGCCGAAAAAAATTGGCTAAGTCTTGATCGACCGACGGTCCATAGGTCATACGACAGTCCGTAATCTGTGACCATCGATTGAGACCCTCATTCACCCACTCTCTGACAAGATCTACGGATGACCAGCACGGTCCGTAGGTGGACCTACGATCCGTAGGTCTGACCATAGGGGGAAAAATTTGCAGACAGTTAAGAGGAAATGCAGTTAGGTCAACTTCAAATGGTCATAACTCTTAGCACAAAATGAGTTATGTGTCCCATGACCTACCAACAGATAGATAATTTAATTATCTTTCCATAGCCACCAACCTTGATAAAATCAGACCTCCGAGTAAAAATTTATGCCCATTTTAGTAAAGGTCTGTCAAATAGGACCAGTCGATGGATCCAACAACGAGGCGTCGGTCAGATGACAGACCGTTAGTCTTGGTTGTCGTTTGGTCTGACAGCAACTTTCCAAGGGGTCTTTTTGACCTTTACCACTCACTTTAAATCCTAAGTTACGTCGTTTTGACCCTAAATCATTAGATTTTAGTTAGTTTAAGCCTAGAGACATAATTAAAACATATCAAGTCAAATCATTGAATCAAAACCTAGAATATTAGAAGCAAGAGAGAAGAAAAAAGCTCAAGAACCCTAGTTCAAAAACGTCACAAGCTCCAGCAGTTCCAGCCCCGAAACATAAGTATTTTTTCATGGATTTCATCACCTGGTATGTGGGATTTAACTAGTGGGTTCCTTTCACCCATTGTGTCCCTAATTTTTAGTCAAATTCTTGATTCTCTTATTATGATTAAACCTAGGTTTTCTAGAACTTTGTCAGAACTTCATGAATTTATTAAATATATGTTCCAAATAATATTATCATGTTATTATTTAGATTATCGCATGAATTTCAGAACCCTAGCTTGTATTTCTTTAGTTCTTGAATTGCACATGCTAGATCAGATATTTCAGACACTTCAGATATACATGCCTCAGTTATAAATGCATAATTAATTGTTGCATTCTGAGTTTGCATGTTCAGTTTTGAGCTATCCAGTATTTACAAAAACTCAAACATAATCAGTAAATTTACATAATTCATTGGGAGTAGCATAATACCGAGTTGGCCTAGGGTTTAGCGTACCCAATAGTCCAGACCTACTAGCCAAGTAGGTTGTAAGTCCCCTCTGTGGGCAATCAGTTTAGTGATCACGCCAGCATGCATTTATAACGTTGGCAGGGTATATAGGGTCCTCTCGATGGGGCGTATACATAGGACTCCACATTTAGCTAATGTAGTTTTATTATTGTTATTAGTAGCTCCCACAGACCAGTCAAACTCTCTGCATTGATCATTTATCAGTATATTCAGTATTCAATTTCAGCAGGTTATAAATTGGTTATTGCATCCAGTTAGCTCAGAAATTCAGTATATCATGTTCAGATTATTATACTTGCTTTTGTGCTTATTCAGTTATGATTTATTTCAGTTTTACTCTATCCTACATGCTCAATCCCTTTCAAGTACTGACGCATACGTGCGCTACATCTTCTCCTGATGTAGGTTCAGGTATTCAATATCCAGATCACACATAGATTGATTTGCGATCTTCAGTTCAGTAGATTGAGTTGTGAGTCCTCATTCTCCGATGACATCAGTTATAAGTTCCATTTCAGTCTTTAGTCATTTAGTTTCAGTTTTTGCTAGATTTAGCTGGGGCTTGTCCAGTATTTCTAGTCCAGTTTAGAGGCTTATCTCAGACATAGTTAGATTCAGCTTAGTATTGAGTTAATATTTCCTTTGTATTAAACTCATTATTTTTAAATATCTCAGTTATAGAGTATGGGTATTCCCCATCTTTTCAGATCTAATTATGATTTAGCTTCCGCATCAGTTTATTATCTTTAGTGTGCTCACTTGTGGTTCTAAGTTCCTTGTCCGCGTCTCGGGGGTAGCTTGGGGCGTGACAATACAAAGGTCCTATTACCCCCTGAACTTATTTTATAAGTAATTTTCTATCCCTTTTAGGCCTGCGTGACACGAGCTTGAAAAAAAAGTAAATCAGTGTTGGGCCCACAAGATAGTGTCACGTAGGCCAAAAGAGATAAAAATTATTAATAAAATAAGTTCAGGGGGTAATAGGACCTTAGTATAGTATAAGTGTGTCTCTTAGATTTCGGGCATATGTTGAGGGGGTACTTGGGCATTGTTCCTAATTTTAAAATATTATCATAAATATCGACAAAACAATATCATATGATGTTAATGTTATTACTTTATAATCAAATCAACAATTAAAATATTTTTATAATATTTATTAAGTTTTTTTCAAGTAAAAATATAAATATATATATCTTAATAGATTTATTAAGTTTTTTGGAATCTCTTTAATTTCAAATTTTAATATTATATTATATTTTTTAAGTAATTTTTATTGGCCTATAGGCCAGCCCTATCAATATTTCTCAAGCCCCACAAATCAGCAGACTTATTTAGGTCGGACTAAAAAGTTCTTTTCTCAAATGAGCTGCAAAAATCATAGTCCAGGCCTATCAAATACCGGGTTACGCCAAGCCGGCCAACCAAACTTAGACCATATTGACAAATCTATTTCAAACAGTATAGTAAAATAAAAATATATTGAACAATTTGAATTCTCATTATTATTTACTTTTACTTAGTTGTCATCGAATTTAATAAACTGAGTTCAATTATTGTTACACTTTGGTTAAAAATAGGGATAATGTTCAAGTACCCCCTCAACCTATGCCCGAAATCTCAGAGACACAATTATACTATACTAAGGTCCTATTACCCCCCTAAACTTATTTTATAAATAATTTTTTACCCTTTTTTGACCTACGTGGCACTATCTTGTGGCCCAACGATGGTTGACTTTTTTTAAAAACTAGTTCCACGTAGGCTAAAAAGGGGTAGAAAATTACTTATAAAATAAGTTCAGGGGGGTAATAGGACCTTAGTATAGTATAAGTGTGTCTCTGGGATTTCGGGCATAGGTTGAGGGGGCACTTGTGCATTTTCCCATAAAAATATTATCTTTTGATAAACTAAAAGGATCGACAAAACTACAAATATACAACAAATATAATTTATAAGGTAATATTCGTAATATATGATAAATTACGTGATATATGATAAATTACATGATTGAACCTCATCAAATCGAAATAAATATGAACATTGTTGTATTTAACTAATTAAATTTTTCATTGACCATCTTTAGATGTTCGTGTATAAGAGATATATATGACGATCCACATTGAGCATTCAAAAAAAACATTTGCAATATTATTTTGTGCTAAACTTATTATTTAAATCTTCAATAAAATAAGAAATAGTATTTTATTATATCATATATCTCCAGAATTGGTAATCTTGTGCAACGCACGAGTCAAAAAACTAATATAAGATTAATGTACAGATATACAATTTCCGTAATAGCATCTAATATTCTATATAACTTATATTATAGGGGTGGGATGGAGTGGAGCGTAGGGTTCATGAGTGGGATGATCACGAGGATCGAGTGACTGAGGAAAAACAATGAATTTGAAATATTACTAGCACTTATTCTCTCCTTTTATATTAAGGAAGTTAGTTTCCTTATAAGAAACAGTATAGTAAATTTAAAATTTATGGAACAACTTGAATTCCCGTTATTATTTACTTTTATATAAATTTCATTCAATCTAATATATTGAGTTCAATTAATATTAGACTTAGTTTTAACATATTATCATTTGATAAATTTAAGGGATCGATAAAACTACAAAGTACATAATAAAAGAACTAATTTGAACCTATCCTTAAAACATAAGGGACAAGTTTTTTTTTATTCTATCACTTTCTGACGTC